CAAAAGGCCGAAGTGTGAGAGGTAAAGACAGCATGCAAAAATAAAAAGAATATTGTTGGTTGTTCTTTCTTCCTCCTGTGCACAATACTAGGGAGGCTCTTACTAAGTACTGCATGGAGCTGGTGTCCACACTTTTGGGAGGATATGAACAAACTTTCAGAAAACAACTGCATAAAATTGCAATGTGATGATGCATGTTATTACAAAGACACAAGCAAAGCCTCAGTTTATTTCCCAGGGAGATAAAATATTGTCCCCATGTAGCTGCCTGGAAAAAAAAAATAATTTAGATTTATATCTGGTGGCAGAAGCTAGCGAGGTTTACGCTAGAAATAAAAGAAAACTCAGCCACAGGGTAATTAATGAAGACTACCTCAGGATGCGAAGGTTTCTCTATCACTAAAAGGATTTAAATCAGTAACAGATGGCTTTGTAAAGCCACTAATTCATCCAGCCATTGAATACAAAAGTAAGACATAACATTGCTATGCTTGTCAAAAATATTCGTAATGACTATAGTCTGAGTTACAACAATAACGTTAAAAGCTTGCTTTTCAGATCAGTTCTGAAATTTGTATAAAGTGTTTACTGGAATAAAACAAAAATACAACCTATTGCTAAATATCAATCTAAAGTTACTCCTGTATGTTTTCAAAAGATATTCCAGATATTTTAAATATCTCCCTAAATGCTTCTTGCTACTTCCTACATACAGTCAGAGCACAGATATCTTCATCTAATACAATGATAAAATAATGCTGTCTGTAATCAAATTATGTCCATTTTCCAGCTTTCACTACTTAAAGAAAAGTTTGTACTAGTAAATTCTTTAAAGCTCTTGAGGATAAAGAAATACAGGCAGTTATACTACAGACCATTTCGCATGTTTTAGTACAAGTACCAACTGAACTGTTCTGCAGGAAAACGATGAAATTTCTTCTATTACCAGCTCTGGTTTTGATCCTCAAATCAAACCTTGAATTTTGCCTTTTTTTTTTTTTCAGTGAGTAATACACTGGTTTTATCTATTTTCCATTTTACCTGGAATGTAAATAACCAGCCATCCTATTTTGAAGATAATAACATTTCAACTTATCTGGAAAAATAAATGATTTTATGGCACAATAATGCAAACTGCGATGCCATTTAGAGAGCAAACACATTATTCTGGCAAAGTAGTGGAGAATTACTTTCACTTTCTCAGTATTAACATTATAACATTGTTGTCTGATATGAGATATGCTCGGTGGTGGATGAAAAAATCCCCACATCACACAACATGTGCAAAACAGTTGCATGCTCATGTGCAATACTCACAAACAGTTAATAACCCACTGGGTTTTAATTTAGCAAAATAGTCCATATCCTACTATACTAAAAAAACCCAAAAGACAATTCTAAGTTAAAAAACCTCTTCCACTTTAATGGATCTCTTTATTTAAAGATGGTTATACCTGTGTACATCATCAAAGCAAACCTCAAATAAAACACAACCCAAAACTTTAAGTCACATTGTAAGGCAGCACTCTCTGAACAGTAGTATTTGATGATTCCTCTATTTATCCTTAGCTTGACTGCTACACTAAACAAAGGTAACAAAGGGTTAGGCACGCAAAGATTATTCAGAAATAAGAGATCTATTATCAGAGCTAGATACATTTCTTCCTTGCAAATATTTCAAGTAACAAATCAAATCAGCTTATGGTTCGATTTTTTCTTTTCAAGCATTTATAACCTTGCAGGTATACTATAGAAATCCAGTCACTCATGAACTAACAGTGACCCGCAATGGCTTCAGAATTGGTGTGTATGTTAATGATGGTTGCAGCTTTTTAAACCCTTTTCTAATGGAAACCATAGGTTGGATGGCACTTGCACTGGTACGTTGTTTTATTTGTCTTTTAAATTGGGCAGATGACACCAAGATTCAAGAAAACATCAACCAAAAAATGTGAAAAATAGCAAACAGGGCAAGCTATGCAATCTCAGTTGTAACAACCAAGTCATAAACATATTCCATTTCTGACTGTTTCTCAAAGTTAATAAAAAAATTACACGAATCAGCAACTGCAGAACTGCTTATGAAAATCCACATCCAATGGCAGTTGGCTCCAGCTAACTGTTTCACCTCTAAAACTACCCATGTGCTTTTCCAATACACTGTATTTGTGCTCTACCCAGAAAAGCCACTACATACATTGCAATTCTTATCACAAAAGACATGACTGGGTTTGAAGCAAGGAGGAGAAAAAACCTATTGTTAGAAATTTCAGTGAAGAGCCTGTGAACACTATTTCCCCAGTACCGTTTAACATTGTCTGAAGTCTCACGTTAGAATTAATCGTACAGGTTGGACAAATCAGCACCATGTGGCTTTTCAGAAAAATCTGCAAACTTGATAAAAACTCAGTCAAATGAAACGATGCCAGCCCTTCTCCAGCTCATACCTATTCTGTTCACCTGCTGAAGCAAGACAACACCTTTACTTCCTTTTCTGTATAGGCTTGTTCTGCTCAATGTGCATCACCTTCAACACTGAACCACTTCAGTATGCTCAGTGGCTGCTGTTGAAGTTTTACACCCTTCAGAAGATCCAGAGACCATAATTACACATGAAGAAATGATGCCTTCTCTTCACCTACCCTCACGATCTCTCCTGCTTCCAGGAAAAGAATCTATCAACCTGACAAACCTGTTTTTCCATAGGGAGGAGTAAGGGAAAAGGTTCCCCTTAGCTCCATGACCCCAAGCCACCCAACCTCCTCCAGCAAGAGCAAAACATCTGCTCTCCCTGGCCTTCTGCCCTCTGCTGAACTGGACTCTCACTTCCCCAAAGCCTAATGCTTGCCACCAGTGTTATAAATGCGACTAATTAGGATCCTAGTTGCCCATTAACTCTTTTATTATCCGTGTGACATTCATGATAAATGCATTCCATTACTTACAAACGGTTGAGGTGGCACTTACACACAGCAGCAGAAACTTTGGAGTCATGGGAGAAAGCTTTTAACAAAGAGACAGCCTAACTGCACCAGTTAGGATAAGCACTCCTTGCAATGGATGGTATGTTTGACTCTTGGTTCAACACAAGAAATCAAGTAGCTTCTCACTCCTAGAAGTGCAGGTGGACCAGTCATTTATATTTCAACAGTAGTATCTCTTGCATCAGTGTAAATATCTTCAAAGATGGCTTTCCAGAGCTAGAGAGCAGTGTGCACTGGAGTTCACAAAAGAGAAAAACCCCTGCCTTCCTCCAGCATCAAAGTCTTCAACAACAGCAGGGTTGTGATTTCTCAGGATTACCATCTCCTCTTAATTAAGTTCCAAAATTCAGAACAGAATAACCCCGATGAAAATAAACGACACAGAAACGGATTTGACTTGCATGTAAAAACTGCTTCTTTCAGAATTAATTACAAATATGCTGGGCTGTGTGGAGTATGGACTAACGTCCTGATTCAGCAATGCATGTGCATGTTTAACTGCTTTCTCAGCTAAGGCTAAGAGCAAATTGTCTAGAAAATTTATTACAATTCTTCTTTCATTTGCCAGAAAACCAGGAAAGCTTTGTGCAGAATCAGTTACCCAGACTCCTTGCCTCCCTTCAGAGATCTTAAAAAAATCCATATGCATGGTTATCATTCTGCAGTCCTCTCCATTACATTACACATTATTCAACATCGGATCTATCTGTGAAACCAGCCCATACAGACTATTCATACTTCCTAGAGATTAAAAGCCTAACAAGAAATGAACTTCTAAAAATAAAGCATTGTTTAAAAATCCCCACCTAACATCAAGAATCAGTTTTGAAAGCATCTTTGCACAGAGTACATATCCATACAATTTGTAGGCTACTAACAGTTTGCTAAATGCTTATTCTTAAATGAACAGTCAGAAAAATGTACTTTGAAGACACAGCAAAAATGCACGCCTATTTATTTCAGAAGCCTGCAAAGCCTGTTCTTTCATTGTTACAACGTGAAGAAGTGGTGCAACTATTTAAATCCAATCACCATGGGAGTTCAATGCACACAACAAATAAAAGCTGCATATTATTATCCTCCCCTGAATGTATAGGCCAGCTCTGCAGAAATAAATGTGGCAGCACCAGTAAATACTTCAAAAAAACCACACATATGTGCCTGAAGAAGAAAAAAATAAAATAAAAATCAGTAGATCTTACAGACAAGACTTGGTCGATCCATCCTGAAAGACCTATTTTCAAATACCCAGTTTCACAGAATGACAGTATCGCTATTTTTGGTTATGAAATAGTTGTGGGGAGAAGAGTAAGAAAATCCCAAATTACGATTTTGTTGCAAACTGCCCAGTAACACTAAATAAAAGTACCAACTATTTCAGCAAAGCATAAAATACCAACCAAAAATCCCCCAAAATAAAAAAACTTGAAGATATTTTTGGTATGACTGAAGAGAGCATTTAAATATACCTTTTTTATAAAGTAATTTATATTTCAATAACATCTGTTGCTTATTTTTTTTGTATAATTGTATTTACTGTGCACTGCTGGAAATATTTAATTTCAAGCCAAAGTAATTTGTTTTATTCTCCCTGGTTTCTAAACAGCACTAGACCGCGGATATTTCTGATTGCAGAAATAGTTGCATAAAAAGTCATTAATTCTGGTGACTCTGTAAAAACGTTTAGAAAACCACAGAATTGTCAGCCTACCATAAATATTGGCATTAATCTAAATTTCAATTCAATAATGCAAAGCAGAATAAAACCTTCCAAATTCCTCTGATAGTTTATTCCCAAACAACAAAAAAGAACAAACAGCAAATTCCAAGCCAACTTGAACACTGCTCTTTTTTAACTGCTTTCCTAAAGATTTTTTAAATGGATCCAGTACGCTGTTGGTGCTAGTCCACTGAACTTTCTGTGCAAAAGCATCACACATTTTTTTCCAGAGTAAATTCTACAAAGGAACTCTTCCCCCACGAGAGCGCTGAGAATCAAACCGCAGGATCTCCTACCTCGATCAAAAAGTCTCCAGTTCTCAGGCCAGCTTGCCATGCCACTCCCCCTTCATCCACCGATTCCAAGTACTGCAAAGCAGGAAAGGCTGGAGTTGGGGTGAATTCTTCAATTGGTGTGTCAGCTTTAAAAATAAATACCACATTAAAAAAAAAAAAAAAAAAAAAGAAAGTTATGGAGTGTTTGCAAATACCACTTGACTAAAGCCCTATTATTGGCCATTCCAATTTATGGTTAAAAAAAAAATGGTGGGTGCTAAAAGTAAGAGGACTCTGCCTCGGAGGATGTCAAGATGTTGGGAATAGAGTGCAATCTCTCTGCAATAGCAATCCACAGGTCTTCAAATTCAGAGAGAAAAATACATGCTTCTTGAGTGGCACAAACCGACTCAAGCTGGACGAGGCACTAGCTGGATTCTGAGGATTCCAGGATATTCGGTATTCGTTCAAGTAACCCTTCTGCGTGCCTGGCAAAATGCTTGGAACTCTGGCAACATCCAGCTCCAAATGAATTATGTACTGGAGCCAGAAGAGAGCATCTGGCCCAACTGGGGGGATGGGTTGGGTGGGAAAGGATGGAAAAGTGCAAACAGAATTTTTCTTCTCGATTTAGAGGTATATCACAAAGAAGATAACAGAAGAAATCACTTTTTAGGGAAGGAGGCACAGCTGGCCTTTGCACCAGCCCTCTCTCTCTGTCACGTACACAGACAAGCAGAAAAGTCCTTTGGTTTTTCACCCGAGGTGCCCTCACTGTTACGGGGGAAATCTGGGGATGATTGTTGGGAGTAACCTCTGCTCGGTGCACGGAGCACTCGTGCCAAGGGGGTAGGTAGCTAGAAGATAGCATTATTGCCTTTCTTAGTACAACTCCCAGAATTTTTGCTTTGGCTAAAATTAGAAGAGCTTTCACAACGCTGAAAATCTCTGGTAGCACTGGTTTCAGGGGTGGGGGAACGGGGAGAGCAAAAAATGATGTCCCAAGAATGAAGATAGAGAACAATTTTCATGCTCAAGCAAAGCAAGGGAGAACCCATGTAAAATGAGGGGGAGCAAGAGATGGGACATACCATCATATATTATTTTTTTGAAATACAAAAGGAGCAAGCTAGACTGAAAGTTAAAAAGCAAAGCATTAAATAGAATGCTTTTTTTAACTCTTAAGAATGTCATTATTATAGATTTTAGCCTACGGAAGAGTAACATGCAGCTTAACATACGAACAGCTTTTGAAATGAGCACACTACAGGCCATGCAACATACGTGCAGCTTCTGAAGATATAAAAAAAGATCATATTTTCATACTAAAACTGCACCAATGTCACCTTGCAGAAGATCCACACCTATTTTAAACAAAACATCACTCTCTTGTCTATTTCTATTCATAGACCTGTTTCAATAGACTGACATTTGAAATAAAGAAGCAGGTTTTATAAGGAGAGCAGGTTTCCCATACTTAGGTAAACTGCATTAAAGGAACAGATGAATGACAAAATATTACATGTACCAACACAATAAAAAATACAGACAAAACTTTCTCCCCCCCAAAAAACGATTATACAGTGCTTCTCCTATGTAAAAATGCAAACTGCTTCAGAGAGAAGCCTCTAAAATCCGTCTGAGTAGTATAGCATACAGAGAATCCTGTTGTCTAGCAACCAAGTGCACCGAGAATAATTCCTGCTTATATTCAGAGATTTATAAATTTCTTCATGCCAGTGCACATCACGCACACACACACACACACAGAAGCACATACCTTTTGCCCCTCTGAGCACAAATCCAAATCCTTCATTGTCTTTTTTCTGCAGGACCACTGCCTTTTCTTCTATTATGCAGTCACTGTAGAGAGAATTCCGAGGATAGCGACCATTATTACATCCCTTCATCACCACTGTAGTAGCTGCTCCTCCAGTGTGCAGGTTCATCATCATCACAGCCCGTTAATCAAATAATATTGCAGTAACCAAGCATGGGAAAATATAGAACAAATAGCAGCGAGGGGAAGACAAAGACTAAGCTTGATGATAAAAGAGAACATGACAAAGCAACTTAAAGGGAATAAAAAAGGCAGAGAGGAAAAAGAAAGAAGAAGAAATCATGCATGGTGGTTTGTGTTCTATATGAATGACTGGATGAACATGTGATCATGTAATCTGTGGGCTAGCTAGGACTCGAAAAGGAAAAAAAGTAAGTGAACTGAACGACAGTATCATTAATAAACTCCTCAATCGTGGATGTACCAGATGCATCTTCTAGTGAAGCCAAAATGAAACCAACCAGAAGAAAAATGAGGCAGCATTTTAAATTTAAAAGATAACAAATTATGATTTTATATTAGCTAACTAAAAGGCACAAATATATTCTGAAAGCTATGCCTTGCATCAAAAGCCCTTTTTCAATCCTATTGAATGTTGCATGCTGCAAGAATCCCACATGATCATCTGACAGCCTACAATGCTAACAACGTGCAGCTGCCTTGGCGTCATCAAGCACAAATTTCCACAGCATCAAGAATCTGCATAATTGAAATAGTAACAGGGCATGCACAAGCAGGAAAACACATTTCTAAGGCATATTTCCCCATCTTCTGATAAACAATTAATATTATAAAACGCGGAGATGGTGTAAAGGACTATTTATGTAAGCAGTATGTTCTTAAAGAGAAAGTAGCCTTAGGACCCTTACTGCCATTGGCTAAGGAAAAAGTGGATGGGAGATGAAGAAAATGCATAAAATCCACATTAAAATGGGACTTTTCATATACAGGGAACAATCTGTAAAAGCCTTAAATTGTTTAGGGTCTCTCATTAAACATCAGGTTACTTAAAATAAGCTCCAAATTAAAAAAAAAAAAAAAAAGATTTTGAACCCTCTTTTGAAGTATAAAACCGTTACACAGCACAAGTTGCAAGACATTCCTCTACACAAAGGCAGTGTCAGGGGTTAAGTATTCATGAGTCGCAAGCACTACAAAACATGTTGCCAGGTTGGCTTTAAAATACCTACAAAACTATTTAAGATAAAAAGAAGTATGAATAAGTTTTCTTTTCTTACTTTTTTTACTAGCCAACTATTGTTACCACTGGGCTTGTCACTAATGTAGTCACCAAAGCATTCAACATGAGACCGGATCTGCTTCAGGGCCATTAGTAATCCAGAAGGGGAGGAGGAAGCTAATTAAAGAAAAATTGGTGTGACCATTTCATTTAAAGCTCCGAACAAAGACAAGGATGATGATATCAGGACACCAAAGGACAGCCTCCAAACTCCAGATCTTTTGTGTATCACAGACTACCCTTTGGGTGACCTTCCAGCTCTAACTGACAGATGGAACTTCATGGTACTGCTCAATTCTGGCTTCCAAACCACAAAGTACTTAATCACTGCACACGAATTAAAACTACCACAGTGGTGACTTTCTGAGCAACAGACGATCCCCATAAGTATGAACAGCTTTTGAATACTACCATCTCTCAACTTACTATTATTTACTTTGTAATTCAGACATTAACTCTTCTTACAATACTCCTGCTATGGAAAGGGTATAATAAGAAAATGTCTATTTCCCAAGAAAGCCAACCACACTGCTGTTCAGGGCTATTGGGGTGGGATGGAAAAGGCATCCCACAGTCCTCCATCAATGTCATGAGGTTACAGAAACTGACTGAACCTACAAGCACACTTATTTTCTTCATTTCACATTCTCACACCTTGACTCACATTTTCAGGGTGGGGCTCCAATACTTATCCACTGAAGAGTCAAGAGTTAAGCCATCTGCAGGCTTTTTTCTTAACACACAAATTAGTAAAATCCATTTCTTCCAAGTTTCTTTATAAACAATCAATAGTGCAATACAAGTTAGAAGGCTACTTTTGAGAACCTAATCATAGAAAGTGTTTGGTTCAAAGCACAACCTGCCTCTCCCCTACCCAAATCCCCCTTTCATCTCAGTTCATCAATATAAAGAATTCAGATGCCTCTTAGCTAGGTTATCAAACCTTGCTCTGATTCTTTCATTTCTGTTGAGAAAACCAAACAAATTCATAACGTCATTCCTTAAAAAAAGGTGAAGGCTAAAGTTCCAAAAGCAGTGCTGGGAAAACTTGGGTTCAATTCACCAGATTAATGTTAGGCATCTACACCTAAAACAAAAATAAGCATCTAGGGTTTTTTCATAGTCAGCTAATGAAATAAACCAGCATTTTCAAGTTATACTCACTTCATCCTAATGTAGAGGTCTAGGACTGTTCAGACTACAGTATGAAAACCACCTATGATTTTCTTTTCATGTACAGCCCATTTATTGCATAAACTACCCAGTTTTATGCTTCAATTTTGACATTGAAAGAAGCAATACTAAACTGCCAAAATTTTACAAAGTTTTGGGTTTTACATGCAACAGGGAGGGGAAAGGGATGGGAAGGAGAAGCAAAATACAAATTTTTTGGTAACAAAATATACAAACTGATCTCTATTACTTGACAAATACAGCTTACTAATATACTTTTTCAGTCATGTACTACATAATGAAAACTCCATCACAGCCTGTAAAGTGAAAATGGTGGTTTGAAAAAAACAGATGTGTAGCCACTTCTCATTTATGTGCTTGGAGAAGGGGACCTGCAATAATCTTACAGCATGAGCAGTTTAAAGTTGTTTAAACCAATCACAGAAAGCAAATTGATTCTCTATGCGCCCCCCAGTGCTGCAGAGCTATGAACTAGCAGCAGGAGAAGAAATGGAAAACAAACACGAACTTGCAACCGCCATACCCCTTCTCCAAAAAACCTCGCTTTGCATCCCTAAGAGAAGGGGGCAGAAGAGGAGAAAAGAGGTTAAATCTCTGACTGTTGGCAGTATTGCTTTTTTTTTTTTTTTTCTTTGCCATGACAGGGTTCTCGTCTCCATGCCAGATTGGACCTCTGCACTGAAGACACGCTGAAGATCTGTTCACAGTCTACCTGGTCTTGGCAGGCAAAGTTGTGCCAAATGGAAAAGTAGGTCAAAATTTCTCACAATGAGCCTTCTTGGCAGTATTTCTTTGATCCTGAAGGTGTTGTAAATACTGAGCAACAGAATGCCTATAGGGTACAGCTACCAGTGAACAAATAAAGGCGACGTTACGTTATAAGCTTGTTCAAAGGTCTGAGCTCAAGCAAGAGGAAGATGCAATTCTTCACGCGTCCTTTGAGTATAGTGTACGGCTCTACATCAGGCTGAACAGTCCTTGCTACCTGTGATATGCAAATTTCAATAGGTAAAATCCTTCAAGTCCATTTCTGTCCCATGTCAAACCGAAATTAAACAGTGTCTATTTCAGAGCTGAGTTTTCAGAATATTACTAGTTCCATATGGTGGTAATAAAATGAGTAATTTTAAAATCAATAGCTCATTACTTAAATAGGGCAAACATTACTTTGACTTTGGGCTGTGTAAGTCCAAGACTCATTGCATACAAAGTTAAATGCAAAATATATCCTATGAAGTGCAGAATATTTCTGCATGAAGTACAATCTTATATGTAAAATTTCAGGGAAAAAAAAAATCAGTCTAAAACCTAAAATCACTTTTGCTTTATCCAAACACTAAATATTAGAAAACATACTTCTCCTTTGGTCCATGTAGCTTCCCTAACACTTTAAGGCTCGAGAATCGTGCAAAGCTGTCAGAATTTCTGTAATTTTACAGTCTTACCAATGGAGAAAGGGAAATAAAGAGATTTATCTATGGTCAGACAGATAGCTGAGATTTGGACTCAGCACTCTTACGTTCAACACCGCAACCATCATTTGTGTAGATTTTCAAGACAGCAAGTATTTCTACTTGGCTAACAGCCCATTAAGACAATACTTGAGGGAGAAAGGAAGCAGAAATGTAAAGTCCTTCATAAAGATCTGCATGAAGAAAATAAAGGTTGAAGTACGGTTTCCCAATGGAGGCAAAAACCATGAAACCTAGCTTCCATTTCACAGCTACAATACACACAACCTATCTTAACACATGGCTTACTCCAGAAGTTAAAACAACAAATTACAGAGATGGAAACTATCAGGATCATAGAATATGTTTAGGCAAGTTTGCATCACGTGTACCATGGCTGACTCCAATCTGAAAAACAGGATGTAGAGTACAACACTCCACTGGAAATGATCATCACTATCTGGAAACAAAAATGGCTGCTTGGCATATTGTCAATCTCTCCCTAAGGCAGAGAAAAAAATGAATTCAAATAGGAGTCATTTTCCTCATTCTCTCCAATCATGCATCCCCTAGAAACATAATCTGAGTCGAACCTTTTCAGATGTAACACACTGGACTACAACATGCCAAGGAAGAAAAGTTATCTAACAGACCACACATGAGATTCAAACAACCAGAGTTACAACCAAATGAGCCTTCTCAGCCCACAGACCCTTCTGTCAGGTGGCTTGCTCTACCCTTGAGTAAGAAATTATTCTCTCCAAGTTTGCTGCTTTCAGTAGGCCAAGTAAATCCAGATCTCTCCATCAGATCTTTTTTACGTCCTCTCCACAGTACTCTGGCAATTTCAATCTTTATGAAAGATCCACTTTTCTATACTTTGCCAGATGAAATAAAATAATATCTAAACCATTCTATAAATTTCTATACAATGTGTGAGAGCAGTAACACAAACTCTTTTCAAGCTAAGATAGTTGATTTATGGTGGTTACGTTCAAGCTTCTACAGGGGCACTATAGAAATCCATTCAAGAGGAGCTCTTCACTGCATGTTCCGACAATCAATCCCTGTTAAAGCACATAAAGAATGTTCTCTCCAAATATTTCCCTTTTCTGGGGAAGTTACGTGTCCTGATACCATAAGCAACAGAAATGACGTCTACAGTAAATCTTACTGTAAGATATAACAGACTTCCAGGGGAAAAACTTTTGATGTCACTGCTGGAAGTGGGGAACCTTACTATCTATAGTCATCTACTGTAACGACTCCAGGAAAATTGGCTAATCCTAGTAATTAACACCTTTAAGATTAACAAAGACTCTGTATGCTCAAGTTTCCCAGGCATCGATCATCCAGCTGTAGGTCCTACAGAAGAGCTTTCACAGCTCTTGTGTAACATGTGGAACAGCAATCACTTCTTCAAGAGGTATTGGCTGCACCAGTGAGCGTGGTTCTTTGCACAGCAAATAGGAAAATACCCAGATGGTCTCTACCTAACCCACTTACAACCCAAACAGAAAGAACAAGATGTAGTCAACCATATATTTCAACTGACAGTAACCCCTCTGTAATATGTTTTTGTCCCATGCAGAGATTCCTTCATGTGATGATGTCCTTCATGGCATTGCAATGCGATTTGTCTTAAGAATGTGTGGTCCAGCAAATATGTGACGCAGCCTTGAACAATAACAGGTTATTATGCTAAAGAATAATTCACAACCCAGCGCTACTGCCTTTGATAGAACCTTTTTGTAGTTTTTCACAATAACATCTTAAATAACCAATAATAATTTCCAGCTATTTTGTTCGA